ACTATAGCTCTGTTTGCAGTTCTCAATAGTTTTTTGCAATTCAATCAACAAATGATAAACGTATTTATTATTAATAATTAACATTATAAATGATTTTTGCTACTTCCAAAAGCAAGTCATAAGCATTCAGTTCTTCCACACTGCAACAAACAGAGACCTAGGCTTGAATTATGGACTGTCATTTTTGTAAACTAAATAAATAAATCCATTTTCTAGCCAGGGGGTGAAGCCTGACCCAGCTGTCAATGTGCAGAAAGTGGAGTACACCCTGGACCAATCTGCTGAAGGGCAAAAACAAGGAGAGTTATTCATCCCTATGATCAATTCAGAGTCTCAAACTAATCTAACCCCGTGCATTTCTTTAGACATTGGGAGGAAGCCGAAGAACCCAGAGAAACCCCACAGAGACACAGGGAGAACAAACCCCACACAGAAAGGCCCAAGACTGGACCCCGCCCAGCCCAGGGCCTTCTTCCTGTGAGGTGACAGTGCTAACCAGTATGCCACCCTTGGATTAATAACATATCAGACAAACTTCAAAGAACTGGGCATATTCATAATAAAGCTTACTAATACAAAGATTTGACCTTACTGATGCAGAAAACTCTAAGAAATGTTTAATTTCCACTTACAGCTAGGACTAAATCCCATAGGTAAAAAGTGAATAACTATTAATAATTTGGAGGATGACTTCTAGGTGGCTTGAGACTGGCAGAAATGGGAGAAAATGGCAGAAACACAGGTTGGAGAAATGTTTTCCTAATGCTGAAAAACTGTGAGTTAAAAAGTTATAGATTATATCAGGGGTGTCAAACATAGAGAAGACACGCCTCTTCTCTATGTTTGACACCTATCCAATGTGCATGGTTTGGAAACTGCAGAGAAAGCTGCTGTTGTGATCTTTATTTATTTACTTTTTATTCCTTGAAGGCTTGCAAAGTTCATTCATGGACATCAGTGAGCTTCCCCAGTGATGTTGGTTTAATTAGTGAAATTTGATTTATTTCCCCTCATAAATATCAAATGGATTAAAGTACTTTAGTTGAATTATAGAAGGATAAATATGTATAGCTGATTGAAGGATGGTTTCCAATATATTCAACAGAGAAGCTCATTAATACAAATAGTTTTCCCAATAAGGCGATATTTGTCTTAATAGAGATTAAATTCAATGATTAACTCTATTAATTTTACTTTTCTGGCATTTTTTATCCACCAGTAAAGCTTTACACAACATCAGGTCACTCCTAGAGAAGGTCTTTGCTCAGGCTGCACTCGTAAGCTTAGACTGGTTGCCAGAAATGTTTAGCCTGCATTAATACGTCTCTTGGGGTGTTTGTGAATGGACAAGTTGTTGATTCAGTGTAGTATTTTTTGCAAGCTGAGGTTTCACTGTGATAAGATCTCAATCACTTCTCAATGCAAGCCCCTGTGCTCCAGACACTACAGCCTCAGGGGACGACTGCTACACTCAGCATTTGAACAAATATTGACACCCTTACTATACATGCACATAACTTTTGCCCGTGGGGCAACATGCAGTCAACACTGGAGCATCTGTAAGCTAGAGCAAACACTGTAAACCACTAAAACGACGATAGCATCTGTGGGGACTTGGAACACAATCGGTTCAATTCTTGTTTGCTGACAACAAACAAACTGCCTCAAAGCATTTGGAAAGCATTACCCGCTTACAACAAATTATAATATGACAATTTAGGCAAAATAAACAAGCTTCATTCTGCAAAATAATTTTAAAAAATATCTCATGCGAGAGCTCCAAAGTTTAGGCTATATCTGTTTGTTTGCAGTCTAACAGCCACAGTTTTTAAGATATCATGTTCTAATTTTGTGTGATGGTAGATAACAATAAGAGCTTGAGCTGATTTCACTGTGGTGAACATCGGGTCATGGTCAAGGTCACACAGAATGTCAAAGTCAGTAAAAACTTCTGTTACTCACAATTTTTTATGGGCCGCCTTCAAACTTCATAACTAGGCCGTAGGGGGGCATGAGTACCTAGGCTGGCTAACCATTGTTAGTGTGTGCATGTGTGTGTGTGTGTGTGTATTAACACATAACTTGTGTTTGTGGTCCAGTTAAACCCAAATCAGATTATAGAGTCACATTATGAGGGTGTGACTTCTTCATCATGGGACCTAAAACCTCAAATGTAAATCTTTATATTTGACTATTAAATGTTAAATCTAGGTTTAAAGGAAGGCTCTGGGGCTTCGGTTACAGATAAGGTTAGAACTATTTTTTATTTTACTATAAAGAATATTGCAGCACAGTTTAGGTTTACAAGATTACCAGAAGATTTCTAGAACAAAGTCAGATCTGGACATAATTAATGCACAGTTCCATATCTGATCAAAATCAAGCACAAACACCTCATACCAACTGTCAGCACGGTGATGGAGACGGGGGGTGATTTGGGCTTGTTTTGCAGCCACTGGACCTGGGCATGTCTCTGTCCCTAAGTCAATACAAACCTCTCTGTATTTTAGGGTCAGATGTGAGGCAATCTGTCTGACAGCTAAAGCTTGGCTGAAAGTGGGTCATTCAACAGAACAATGACCCCAAGTACAGACGAAACTCTACAGCAGATTGACTGAAAAAGGAAAGAATCAAGGTGTTGCAATGGAATAGTCAAAAAATAGTCAAAGTTCAAACCTCAAGCTGACTGAAATGTTGTTACAGGAACTTAAGGGAGCTGTGCATGAGCAAATGCCCACAAATCTTACATTTCAAGGAAAAATTCTTCCACAACGATGTAAGCCTGAGATAGGGCCTGATACAGTCATAGTAATAATTAATAAACATAATTTTAATAAACATAAGCACAAAAGAGAAGAAGACATCCCTCAATGAGTTAAAACATTAACTTGTAATTTATTCCTGCATACACAATTTTTGTCATTCGTATTGTGTCACTTTGAAAACAATTCAGGAGGCGCCCCTGCACGAGCTTAAAGTTATTTATGTCGCTTGGGAGATGAGATATGCCAGCCTTATCCTCACAATTTTATTGAGCACAAATGTGGCGACTGACTGTGTTATGCAAAACAGCTTAGTCAACTGACACAGATTCTGGTAAGCTGAGCCAAAGACATGCTGAAAACTGAGTAGGCATTCACAAGTGTCCCTGTGAGACGGTGAGCCCGGTTTGCTCTGTGCTGCAGTATTAATCAGCAGGGAGATCAGTGCTGTCATTCTGCTACTACAGGGTCACTTAATCTGCCCTTTTTGGCTGTCAGTCAAGAGGAAACCTGGGAAGATTTGGCATCTTTCCTTTTTGTGCCACATGGTATGACACATGGGATCATCATTGTAGGGATCGTGGAAGAGGATTTAGATTTTGCCTCTAGCTGCACCATTGTGACCGCTGCATTACGAACCAACACCATCTTAATCCTCCTCTCCCATCCCACCCCATGAACAGAAGTATGCTGAGGACAACCTCCATGTTACTGCTGAGGCAGACATTGCTATAAACAGATATATAACTGCAATTACTGCATTTCACACCAATTTCAAGTTTTCTTTTTCTGGTTGTTTAATTTATGAATGAATGAAGGAGTTGGCTCTAAAACTGATGCTGACCCCTAGTGATGGGAATGAAAGGGAAGCTTTGTGCAACAGAGCCATCTGCACAGCACATGTAAAACAGCAGTATGGTCTTCCTGTGGATTTTGATGTGGTGAATCCAAATACACATAGATGATTAGTTACTGTTTCCACGATTTTTGATATCACATCTAGGTATATTATTTTAGTAGTTGAGTTTTAATCAATTAATAATAATACGGAAGCTTGCTTTTTCCCCAAACTTTTTATGGTCATGTTTGTGCCCTAAAGAGCATGCTTTACTTTACGTTACAGATTTCCTGCTGCTACAAAGGTCAAATCGAGAATTAAAGATGGACAGACGTTAGTCAGTCTGGAAATGACATTTACAAATTGAGGAACAGTTTCTGAATGAACACTTCCACTTTTGACTCATTGACTTTTGATCTTAGAACTGACTTGCCGGTATCATGAAAACAAGACACAACCTTTTTAAATTTTAGCATCTCATAAAGTCTCTACTACTTAATCTAATTCTGAAGCACTTTGGCTGTGGACAAAAGCTGATAAGCCACTGCTTGATGATACCCAGAGAAAATCCCAGCGTAGGAATTCAAGACGTGAAACACTTTTTATCATTACAGAAGAAACACAAAGTAGCACACATCCGTTGTGGTGGAAGAGCAGCCTGTCTTTAGGAATTTTTTTTTCTTCCTGTAAATATCAGACATTTACTGAGACAAACACACGTAGCAAAGCATCCTGTGAAGTATTTTAAAAAGACTGGCAAGAAGAGCAAGAGCAGGTGAAACCTGCCAGCCATAAGCCCCTCCAGGAAAGAGGATATTAAGGAAGCCAAAGAGAGTCTGGCAGAAATAATTGGCAAAATGTCCAGTGGTGGTTCAGAGAAATTCACCAGAGCCAGGGATCTGTTTAATACATGTATGCTAATTTCTTTCTCCAAGCTGACACTTTTATGGTCTCTTCTCATATGTTTATAGGAACGCAGATTGATGGTTCTTTATAGAAATGTTGAGGTTTTTTTAGGACGGTGTTACCCTGTGAATCACAGAGAGGATTGTAGATATAAAAGATAAACTTTGCACAACAGGAAGATCACCATTTGTCTTGTATATACTTTGACAACTCAATAAAGCCCCAATGCATCCAACTCCTACATACATTTTTGACTATGCAGGGATTTACAACACACAGTTCAAAAAAAAAAGTGCAGTACCTGATGCTAAAGTGGTAAAATTAACTCCAAATCGACTAAGAGTCTGTGTCTAGCATTTAGACCTGAGCATAGTAATTGTCAAATCAATGTGGGACTAATAGGTGAGAGGAGCTGACTACACCACTGCAGATGCAAACATGACAAGAATAACCCTCATTGATCAGGAGAAAAAAGAAAAAATTCACACAAGAGCTTGTGGGCACATTGTGCATGTTTATTTAATCACACTGACTCTTAGAGGTTCTCACAAAACAAAGCTTCAGAGGTTCTACATAATTTTTTTTATGTACAAACAATATACAAAATGTACATGTAAAGTGCACTGAAAACAAACAAATCTAGCTTTAAAAAACTAGATTTTTCCTAAACGAACAAGACAAACTCCAGTTAAAAGTTTGTACAGGTGGAAAAATCTCCTGTATGTTATGTGTTCAAATCCTTTGTCCACATGATAAAGATTTCAGAGCACAGCACAATATCCTTTCTCCACATTTCACTCCATCTCTGTGAAGCGTGCAAACATGGCTTTACGCACAGCATCCTTGTAGGTGTCAGATGGTGAGAGTTCATATGAGCTTCCTTTAATGCCCAGACCGGTGCCTTTGGTCCTCAATGAAGCCTGTTAGGAAAAGCAAAGACGATTATAAGAGATGACATATTAGACACAGGTGCCCCTCAGGCAGCAGTGCTAATTGCTATGTGGGCAAAAATGAGCACGTTGGTACGCAGATTCCATCTGTTAAGAGGATCTGGCCAGCAGACGAGGGGTAGTTTGGAAGACAAAAAAAGTCTGCTCACCGAGATGGGAACGGTGATGCCTTGTTGGTGACGTCCCAGACCTTTGCCTTCCTGCCAGCCCATCGCTTGCAACATCTTGCTCCCAATATTATCGCTTGTTAAACCGTCTTTAGTGGGCTGCTCAAAGTTTCTGATGATGGTGAATTACAGGTGTTAAAAAGGTCCAATTCACATAAAAATAATGAGAAGAAGGAGAAGATATTACTAAAAGTTTTCATAGACTGTTTGCTGTGAGATTAAACTCCTCCCACTTACACTGTTGGGCTTGGTGCTTTGTAAAATTTCTTTTTAGGTGCAGGAGGTTCAGGAATACCATACTTCTCCCTTCTTTCTGCAGCTCTATCTCTGTATTTCAGCTGTTAAAAATCACAAGAAAACGTATGTTCTCATTCAAATTTCTTTCTTTCTTTTTTTTCTTTTAAATAACAGAGACAGAAAGATGACATTATGATGCAAAATACCTCAGCCTCCTTCCTCTCTAGCTCTTCCAGCTCCGTTTCTGAAAGCTTAGCTCTTCTTTCAATTTCCAAGTTTTTCTAAAAGAATTAAAAGTAATTTTATGCGCGAGAACAAAATAATCACTGGCATGAATAAATGCAACTTCCATTTCCTGTGAGGTACAGCATGTGAGCTCCTTTTTGCTTTGAACAGATGGCGCAGCCCAGAATATTCATAGCTGCTTGCACATTAAACACCCGCTGTTTGCCATCCTCACCTTGTGTAGGTCAGAGAGCTGCTGGTGACGCAGCAGAGCGTCTTTGGTGGGGAACTGCCGCCGACACAGCAGACACACCATCCTCTTCCAGTCGGTCATTTTCCCCTCCTCATCGGCTGCTCGGTCTGAGCCGTTTTCATCTGGGTCGCTATCCCCATTGTAGGCAGCGACCAAATCACTCTAACATGAAAACAGACAAAAGGAAAAGTGTTAAAGGATATATTTTTACTAATAAACAGGAGAAATAGCTGCAAAGTTACAACAAACCTTAGACAAAATCTCATCCTCAAGCTTGATTTGTTCAGTCATGAGGGACGGCATCTCAAAGCTTCCGATCTGCTGAAAGGAACCAAATGAAGCCCATGAGTAAAGACCCACAACATATCTAATCTCATGATTAAAAGATATTCAGTGGCTCGTGACGATAGAGGGAAAATGTACTTTCTAAATATAATATTCCAAATCAGTGTGCTTCTCCAGTTAGAACCTACCCGTACACCACTGCACTGATCCAAAGCACATCATATTTATTCTTAATAGTTACTGTTACACTACCTTCTTCTCGAAGAGGGAGAAACCTGCATCTGCAGCAGCAGACTCTTTTCTGTCTTCATCCTTAAAAGATCCTAACCCTTGCGCAGTACTCTTAATGCTTTCTTTTTGCTTATTTAAGCTTTTTGCCCAACGCTCCATGTCCTTTGCAATCTGCAATTTAATAATGCCAAAAACATTATTTCAAAGACGACCTAACAGCTATTAACAGGATCAACATCTTCAGAGCAGCACTTACCTGTTGTGCAGACTTGTTTTTGGGCTTTTCTTTCTTCTCTTTAGTCTCTTTACCACCTGTTGTTAAGAAGGTGGCTGCAGAGCTCGCTGTGGACGCTTGTTCTGTGTTTGTGCCGGATTCACTCAGTGCAGGGATGTACGCCTGCTTCTCGTTGTCCCAGTAAAGGTACTGCTGAGTCTCTGAGTTGTAGTAGTACTATTGATGACAAGCAGAAGACAAAAAAATGTGAACAGTATATTTAAAATAAATACATATGCTGCATGGCATGGGTTCTGCACATGCAACAAGATCAAGTGCACATACTTGGCTGCCAGGATCATAGTACAGGCCAGTCTGTGGATCGTAATAGTAACCTGAAGACTCATCGTATTGGTACGTGGAGGTGTCGGGAACAGCTACAAATAAAAACAAAAACATTGAAATAGAGGCAGATATGAAGCAAAACCTTTTTTCTATCTTCAGTTTTATCATCATCATCTCTATCACTCACACACAGAGGAGTATATCTGCAGCTAACTCCTCTCACCTGTTGTGTTAGCAGTCGGTCCGGCACAGATCGTTGCTGCAACAGTGGAAGATGCTGGTGTTGTGAGTGATGTGGTGCAAACACTAGCAGCCTGTTGGGCTGCAACAGCTAGTGGATGTGTCTGAGAGGTAGGAGAGGGGGGGGGAAAAAAAACCCTGATGAACATTTGGATTCAACACAGACAGAAATCACACTCGAGTAGCATTTTTTCACCCCAAAGACGCCACGTTAATACACTTCCTACCTGAACAGCAGGCTGACTGATTATGATGGGGTGGTAGACCTGAGCTGCCTGGGATATGACCACAGCTGTAGATGCGGAGATCACAGACGCCATTCCTGGAGCCGCTGGGGAGAGTGATGATGAAGTCAAGAATCTCAGCCTCGGAATAAAACCACCCCAAATTTTTGCGAGTGATTCCTTGTTTACCTCCAAGTAATCCATCTCCAACGACAGGAACCAGTCCTTCAGGCTGCTGTGGCCACATGTTTGCATAACTCTCTGGAAAAGCGATCTGATCTGAAGTTGCACCTGAGCTTTGCTGCAACTGAAAAGACAAAACAGATATGTGACGTCAGAAACAAAATAAAGCAACCCAAAGTAGAGCAACTGTATCAGCATAATTCAAATAAATTAGTTAAGTCAATAAATCCTTTCCTGGAACTTGATGCCACGATACTAAATACTGCACATTAGGCTCCACTAATCAAGTATTGTTTTAATTGACAATAAGATATAAGAGTCCTTGTAATTTTAATTAGTTCTTAATATCGACAATATCACTGATTTGTAGCTTTTTGGTCCATTTCTTTAAATCCCTCAAGCCATAGAAGCTCACTTTTTCTACTTAGACATGGTACAGTCTATGATACCTGACTAGATGACCACTGAGCAGCAGCAATGGCTGTGCTGGCAACAGAGAGAGCGCTGGCTCTGATCCCCTCAGGCAGCACTGAGTCTCTGGGAAAAGAATTATGTGTAAATTAAATATAAGCTAATGCAGAATGAAAATAAGACCCCGATTTGTAATTCATTATATTCTAGGATCTCAAAAGGTATGCACAGTATATGATGAATATATGACGAATATAAAACAGGCTGTCTAAATATGTGTTATGTATGTGCAGAATTACACACTTTCTAGCACTTTTGGCAAAATCCACGCCGACTGTTTTCCCATCCAGTTTCAGAGGTGGCTGAAGGCTCTGGAGAATGGTGAGCAGCTGAGAAGCCTCCTGTAGAAACACATAAAGCCACACTGTCTCAACACCTCTGCTAGAAACACACCAACGTACACTACAAAGTCATACAGACTGCTGAAAAATAAAGCTACGCACCAGCGGGGATGAGAGCTGGACAAAGGCGAAGCCTCGGTTCTGTCCCGTTTGCTTGTCTTTGATGAGGCGGACGTTGTTGGTGGACAGGTTGGCGTACGGTGCCAGTAAGTTCAAAATTCCATCAACAGTAGAGAGAGGGGCAATGTTCCTCAAAATGATCGCTGTGAACAAAGAGAAAAGTCATCAATAAATGTCTGTATGGGAACGTGCAATCTTTCAGTAGACCAAAAGGAAAATCAAGAATAAATATATATTTAAAAATGCCCTTAAAGGCATAAAAATTCATATAAAAACTACATGCAGACATTATTTCATTTATGAAATGTGACATAACTTTGTTTACTGCCTTCTGTATTTATTTAGCTATTTTAATGTCTTCCCCATTCTTTAATATCTAATTATATTACTACATATTTATTACTTGATAGTATAACTTTCAGAAAGATCAGCTAAGCGCTTCAGTTTTTCAGTAATCTCCCAACTAAAAGCAGGCATTTGATCCTGACACTGATCAGCAAAAAGCTGACGTCATGACATCCCACTCATTCACATGATAAGCAGAAGTTGCCCCAAAAAAGTGGAAATTAATTACTATTAATTTAAAAAGAAATATAGAGAATACATAAAACATGATTATTAAATAAAAACTAATAACATAAAGATGATTACATTTATACCAAATACATTTTTTGTTTTGCACCCTTTCTGTCATCCATGAAAAACAAAACAAAAACACTTACTGTCTCCACTGTATTCTCCTGGCTGTTGACACTCGACATTTAAACCATTTACACCAGTAAAGTCACCTACAAAGAGCAATGCCAAAAAACATCACGCAGGATATATGCGAACTGCTCGTTCTCACAGAGAGACAAAAAACTCATCTTAAGGGGGAAAACTCACCAACTTTTGACGCGCCACACCTGAAACACTTCAGCCTCTTCCGAAAATTGTACAGACCACACTGCAACAACCATCGATTGTGTATTTTGGTTACAATAAGCAAAAAGACAAAAAGAGAAATATTGCAGGATAAGTTCAAAGATAACACTCACAGCATTGCAAAGCCAGTTTTCAAACTTCTGTTTCCTGTTGCTGTAATGCACTGCGATGGTTTTCCCCTGGATCACCAACTTGTTCTGTGAAATAAAATAAAGACAAACAAACAACAGTTACACCAAAATACGACACGTCTGAGCCAAAGAGGCAAGTGCTGAGACCCCGGTGCTACCCCACCCAATGAGTGAGAGCAGAGGGAACAGGAAAGAGTGGCTAGGTTTTAACTTGTTGCTTAGATGGGGGTGTCTCAAGGACAAAAAAAAGGAGCAGAGACGGGAAGAGAAGTTCAGAGAGTGAGGGATTGAGTTCAAAAAGAGATTTCTAAGTGTTTGGGACCGGAGTGCTGCCAGCCCGTCCACATCTCACTCCAGTCTTCGGATATTAAATGGAGATGAGAAACTATCAAAGTGACAGAGCTGGAGCAGAATGTGCAAAAAACCTCGGGGCAGTCGGTACTAAACAAGTCCACTCGCTAACAGGAAGCAAACTCTCCCTCTTTTGTAAGCTTTAAGAGAATAAACTTAAAATTTGTAAGAGAATAAACCAAACAAATGTGCATTTTTACAGTGGTGTTCACAGAAAAAAAAAAATTCAATAATGCTGCTATGAAGTATCACCAGACGTGTGATATCTGAAATACTACATCTCAGATATCACAGATTTATGATCAAGATTTTTTTGGCTAAATACAAACAAATTGGGCTATTTGTAAAGTGCCATCATTACTGTACTGCTTAATTTGGGTTCTAATCTCCAAGAATATTTCTAGACTTGGTGATTGTTGAAGCAACCTGATTGGTCTCCATCCATCGGGTAGAATCTTGCAAGTGATAAAACTCCACGAAGGCGAAACCTCGGCTTATACCTAGAGACAGCATTCAAATATAGACGGGAGGCGTGTTAGTCAGAATGCTTTGGTGCAAAATTCAAAGTTACAATGGGCTTGCACGGCGGTGGGGATGTTTACAACATCATGATGGTAGAATTTACATACCCTTAACTTCTTACCTGTCCGTGTCATCAAATCAGAATTTCTATATGACACAAAGAATCCTACGACAATATTTAATTTTCTTTTTCCAGGGGTTGTAATAAAGTAGGAAAGATGGGTTTAAAGATCAAGCGCGGAAAGGAACGAGGAACGTTCCTCTGAAGAGTATCGCTCACCTGTCCTTTTCTTCATCAAACGTATGTCCACAGGCTGTGGTCCCTGTAGCTGCTCCAGAGCTGTACGCATCTGCAAAACAGAAGCAGACGGTGAGACTCATCAGAACACAGATCTTCTTCCTACTTACTGTTTCCTTACTTAAAACCATCTTTCTGGAAACTGGTTGTGAACCATGAGGTACATGTTCCCAATTTAGAATAACCAGTTAACCTAAGCCCACTAACTGTATGTCGTTGGACTGTGGGAGTAAAAAGTACCTGGAGTACCCATAAAGAACCCACGCAGACTCATCGTGAAAATGAATGTCATGGTAATTTTGGGCTTTTAAATATTTTTTTGGACTTTTCTTTTTCCAGGGTCCCAACCAATTAATTAAAATAAATTTTAGCAATTCTGCCAAGAAAAGTGGTCAAATATTCAGTTGGAATTATAACAGAAGCTTGTTGATGGCTTTCAGAAGTGTCTGGTGGAAGTGACATTCAGCCAAATGTTAGTGGGGATGTGTGTATGTATTTGAACCTGTGTGGATTAGAGAAAATCTAAAAGAAATTCAAACTTGTGCACCAAAGTCGTGTATAAAGTTATTCAAAATGTGTGCTTTACAATCATTCCACCCTGGACGTTATCGGCTCAGCCCAGCATATCCTATCACAATCCAACATCATACAGACTTTACTAATGAGCAGGCAGTTTACAGACTTACTAATGTCTGCGTTGGGAATGTGTGTTCTCACTTTCACCTGTGTCAAGTGATGCCTGGCAAAGTTTAGGGCAGTTTTTAATCTATTATTTGACACATTGTTGACATATTTGACATATTGTTGTACTTACCAACGAGACACTATTTTTTTTCTTTTTCCCAGTGTATATTAATTATGACAGATGTAAATCCCCCTCTCCAAAATGCTCAGATTAACACCTGGATAATTCCATATAGGGAAGGGAAAGATGGCAAGGTGCACAGGTGTACACACACACACAGGTCGTGAAGTGTTGCTGATTTCTATGCCAAAGTTTTACACCCATCCTGTGACAGTTTACAACTTTGAACTTCTTGCAAGAGATTCCTTACAACTCATGAAAAAGTTATATGATATACAGTTTGGTGTGTTTTTTCCTTTAAAAAGCATGAATGCCACTGAATGGCAAACTGTGAGCTTACGTCATCTTCCGTGACGTGGACAGGGAGCCCTCTCAGCATAATCGTTTTGCTCTCCTCCTCCTCCTCCTGCTCCATTTTGTAGTCCTGCTCTGGATAGTCACCATCATATTCATCATCAGATCTGCTGCTGCTGCGTCGTTTTCGGCTCCTCTGTAAGAGAAAGAAAAAAAAAAAAATAATGTAATGTTTAACTTCAAAAACAACAAATTCAGTATCACTCTGATCAAGACGTACTTCAAGCTGCAAAGGAATTCTTCTCCACTTACCTCTGGGCTGTCTTGGTCCCTGCGTTCATCACAGTAGTCTTTGTACCTATCATGGACCCAGCGTCGATCATAATCCTTTTCCACATCTCTGCTTCGTTTTCCATAGCACTCTGGATCGTGTTTGCGCATATCAGAACCATATCTTCCAGTACGTTCACTACGACTAATCCTGCAAAAAGCACCAGAGACTTAAATATATGAGCACATGTTCAACGTGTTCCTGAACATCACAAGGATTAAGTGGACTTCACCTTCTATCAGTTCCCATGGTTTAGTACAGGACAAGGGTTTGTGGACAATCCTGTGGAAAAATTTGGAAAAAAAAAATATTATTAGTACTAACTGTTACTAACCATTTCAATCAATGTTTCGTGCAATGGTGTTCTTTACCTCTAACAG